AAAAACATAAATAAAATTTTAAAGTCGTAAGAACTAATCTTTTTTATGCATTTCAGTTGCACGATGGACTGAAAATCGGCCACCAAATAGATAAAGATGAACGGCGTCGCTTCGCATTTTTTACTGAAATTTTGTTGAGTGAACTATAAACAGGAAATCGCACGATCTTCTCGTACAATTTGGAATTAATAGACACTCGTAATGTTTTGAAAGTTCTTTAATTGCACTCGCCTAAAGGCTCGCGCAATTACAAGAACTTTCAAAACATTACTCGTGTCTATTAATTTCCAAATTGTACTCGAGATCGTGCGATTTCCTATACTTATTATTACTATTATCATCATCATTAGTATATATGTAATAGGACTCCATGCTGTCCAATTAAGAAATAATTGGACAAGGAATATTCCAAGGACTGACAAAATTGGATGAGGCCGTAGGCCGAGTCCAATTTGGCAGTCAGATAAATTATATATTATATAGCTGCCTAATTAATCCCATATCAACAAGACCTGTCCAATTAAGAAAATAATTGGACAGTTACCTATATGGGATTAATGAGAAGCTGTATAATTATTATAATTATTACTAATATTGATTATAATTATTATATTATTATAATTATTATATTATTATTATAATTATTATTATTATTATTACAGTGATATTCATTCGTTGGCGATGGAATTTCACGTTGAATTTCACTAGAAAACCGATATCGCAGGAATCGCGAAGCGATGAGTGTGATACCGGTTTTCGAGTGAAAATTCTGTGCAATTCCGTAGTCAAAAATAAATTTTACTTGAATCCCATAGCAAAAAGATCAAAAATATACTTATTAATACGATATATTTATGCTTATTAAAACAGCGAGGGCTACCTGTATCTTCACATGATTCAGCTTTTTAAATGTCTTCAATTTTAATTCAAATTTCGGGAACTTATCTTTTATTTCATTAAGTAGCTATCTTCATTTGTTTCTTGTTAAGTGGTTTTTGCGCTTATTTCAAGGGCGCCAGGTCAGACGGATTGGGTTTTAGATGTATGTGTGATTGTTTCAGTTATTCTAATTGAATTGATATTTGTTTGTTTCTAAATAGATACTAAATAGTGTTCACCTATCTTTAAAAATAAACGTCCGTTCCAACCAACRGTCTTTCTGGTTTGAATCAGCCGTACGATATGAATATGTTTACCACGTCCACCAACGGTCTTTCTGGTTTGAATCAGCCGTACGATATGAATATATTTACCAAGTCCACCAACGGTCTTTCTGGTTTGAATCAGCTGTACGTACGCTCTGAGTATTTACCGCTGCACTATCCTTGCCAAGCAGCGCCGGCGTCGCTTCGTTAGCGATTACTCCTTTAATAAGTTAATCAAATTTAACGAAGCGACGCCGGCGGATGGAAAGGACAATTATTTTTAAAGATAAGTGAACACTATTTAGTATCCACTTAGAAACAAACATATATCAATTCAATTAGAAATCTACGAATAACTGAAACAATCACACATATTTAAAACCCAATCCGTCTGTCCTGGCGCCCTTGCTTATTTGGTGTTTTGATGGGAAATAATATACAAAAATTAAGATTTAATTTAACGCGAAGTCCCTGATTTTGCATGCGATTCAGCTTCAAAAAGGCGATTCCACGTGAAATATACCCGCTTGTATACGTCATCTCTAGCCAATCAGCGCGAGCATTTTCGACTACCTATGGGATTTTTATGGAAGATACTTAAGTTATCGAAGGAATTTAAAATCAAATTGAGCAAAGTTTTTTTTCGCTAAAGAACTGTATGTGTCCAGCCTGATAACGAGGGTCGCCGGGCATCCCATGCCAGCCTCGCGAATGCTTTGGTATTTCAGACTGACCAGTCTCGTTTTTAAAACCCTTGACCTTGCCAGGATCGATACTTTGATCACTTAGTACATTTTAATGGAAGTTTGCATTCTTTTTTTTAGCTAACGACGTCAGAAAAATACTGGGAATGGATCAAAACGCAATATGCTGAAAGCGCTTATGCAGGCCAGTGGTACAATAGTGCACCTGAACCAAAAGAAGTGTACATTGGAAATAAAAGGTCAATTCTTATAGGAATGCCTCGAATTCGCCAACTTAGAATCAAACCAGGTATTGGTATAACTAGTCAATACTCCATTTTGGAGTTCTATTTTTGCTCAGTGTTATCCTTTGTTCAGTGTGTTAAAAGTAAACAGTCCGCATGAACCAAATTTAAATCAACTTTTAGTGTTCCTTACTATAAAATGGGCCTTAATAAAAGAATAAGAGCACCATCGATGCTAAGGCTGATCAAASGCGACGTCGAAATATAGGGATATTATATTAGAGTTAAATTAAGTACCGAGAACGGTAGCCTGCGTTGCATTCGTAATTTTCTTCTTAAAGTACGTCTGCAAATCAGCACGATTAATATATAATAGATTCTGATTGGCTCTCTGTGATATTCATTCCTACACGAACTCTCATTGGATAATATAACAACAACAACATAAATGCAAAAGGTAAAGGTAATTTGTTTTACTTGGATAACGCGGGGAGTGGTTGCCCAAATCTCCCGAGCCAGGGACTCATGTTTAATGCGCTCGAAGGTGCGCCCTCCACCCCCTCTAACTATCAGTGCTCCTTTTAACGGGTATTTAAAACTAACTAAAGCTACACAGAACAGAGAGAAGTCGAAACAGACGTGGAGTTACTGAGGATTGAACTTTGGACCTCTAGCTCTGAAGTCCGCGCACTAACCAACTGAGCTACGCCCTAAACATCCTAAACATCAAAACACACGAAATTTGGAATTTGTGCTGTCGAATAGTCGAAAAAAGATTACGAATAGAGGGAAAGCAAAAATATAAGTTTTTGATGTGTTATATCTCAGCCCAATTTCAATCAAAATCAACCAAATTTAGTAGTATACAAGAATACTGCAAAGTTTGAATGACAATCATCAAATACTTTTAGAGATATGCTGTAATGTTGAAGGAAACTGAGTTGAGAATGACGGCATCAACCTCCTAATTAGCATAAACGTAAAACTTGAATCTCTCTCGAACCAAGAATGCTAACGAGAAAATGAAAATGCCAGTTTCGAATTCCTTCTTTTGTAAAGTACTTTAACATGTGTCGCAATGAAACACATTTCACTCTTCATTTACGGTTATATATTTTTTTCATGTTTTAGAAAGCTGTGTCATTCCCAAGAAAGCAAAAACTATTACCTCTACTTGCTACGGCAGATATTCTTTTAAAGAAGAAGAAAAAAACCCATTATTTCTTCCTGGATGGATACCTTTCCATAACGAAGACGGTCTTAAATCATGGACCAATGTATCTCAGCTATGTCCAAAACCATGGCGTTACAGTGCAGCCAATGTGGATTTGCCCTCTTGGGGTTACTTTCACACATACAGTAGAGGAGGTTACTCAGCAGATTTGGGATATAATAACGAAACCGCTAATTTTGTCACAAGTCCCTTACGCACGAATAAGTGGATTGATCCGAGAACTCGGGCATTACTGCTCGAATTATCAATATTCAATCCCAGCACGAATCAGTTAAGTGCGATAACATTATATTATGAAGCTCTTCCTACAACATTTGGACACCCCTTTCAAGTAGTCGAAACAATTGCCCTTTATGGAACGGAATCTGCTTCATACGATTTTTTTCTAATAAGCAAGTTACTGTTTATATTCCTCGTAATATTTTACTTGGCACGCGAGGCAAGAAAGGCATTCAAAATGAAACGGAATTACTTCAATAGTTTTTGGAACTTGCTTGAAATAATTCAAGTGCTTGTCGCATGTAGTGTTGTGGTTTGTTACGTCATCAAAGAAAAGATGCTTCTGGAAGCCGTTCAACACGTAAAAGAAAACCCCTACTTGACAGTGAACTTTCAGCCTGCCCTCGCATGGAAGAACGCTGAAGATGCTGCACTTTCATTGGCTGTCTTTATTGCAACCGTAAAAATTCTACGTATGCTACGTTTTAATCCTCACATAATCATCTTTTCCGCTTCCTTAAAATCTGCCAGAGAAACTCTTCTTGTCTACTCGGTCATCCTTTTTGTCGTCATGGTTTCATTTGCCTTGGTTGGATGTTTAACTTTAGGTAGTTCAATGTATCAGTATCACACTATGTTACAGGCTTTTTATTCACAGCTATTGAAGTCACTTGGGGCAAAAATGGACTTGGATACAATGAGGAATAACCTTCCAATCCTAGGTCCCCTCTTTGGCTTTGGCTACAAAGTGCTGATGACATTCTTATTTGTAAATTTTTACATATCTGTTCTAAATGATTCTTATACAGAAGTGAAGTCAAACACAGACACAAACTCAAAAGAATTCGAAATGTCAGATTTTATACTAGAACGGCTAAAGGAAATAATTTTTGCCAAATCTTATACAATTAACCCCCAAGAGGAAGAAAGTCCTAAAACCAATGACACTACAACTCAAAAAAATTTAGATGCGGTAGAACCAGCCCTTATAAAAATTGGAAAAGAAGCGTCGAAACAGGCACATCCAGATGCAAGAAGCAGGGATAGAAACGTTAGTTTCAATGTTCCGCCTGAAGGATGTGGGCTTGCCTCAGGGAAAACTACTTTAAAGGAACAAAAGGCTAATAGTGGCACAGAAGATGGTTTAGGAAGAGCAAAACAAAATACGTACAGAATGCGAAGGGCCCTGAGGCACAAGAAAGAAAAACATCTTTGTTATTTTCTTGAAAAGACATCAAGCGTCGATGCCAATGAAATGGAGAAACGAACAAACGCACACCAAAATTTAAAGCAGAAAGGTACATCATACGAAAAAGAAATGTATCGAGACCTCGAGGGAAAATGTGCCGAGATTAAGGGGCGAACGAATTCATTGAGAAAAGAAGAAAAAGCGGAAGACATGGAGTTCATCCAACTTTTATTATGCCTTTTGTCAAAACATCTCGTTCAGTCCGTTCAAACAATGCCACTAAGCGGAAATGTTTCAGAGATCCAAGAGGAAATGGAAGGTTACAGCCCTGATTGGGTCAGCAGTTCAAGCTCATGCAGCGAGCATTCCGTTGAATATGAAAATTGGGAGACATATGAAAGTGACACTGAACTAATACAAGAAGAGCTGTGGGGAAGTACTTCAAATCTACTAAGGAATTTGATCCTCCGGAAAAAAACTATTCCAGAACATTTGAGATTTAAGAACACCTTGCAAAATGAAGATCATGTCTCTAGCACTAGCATAACAACGAAAAAACAACCTTGGCGACCATAAGGGCAAACAATACCTCTTGTCAGTCAAAATAAGAGAAAGCAATTGCCTGCTTTATCTCTGACTGTAATAGTATGAGATTTTCTATCACAATAATAATGATAATAATAATAATAATAAT